CAGGAAGCTCTAGCACAGAGGTAATATTTATATTGGATTTCTGCACAAATCTGGAAGAAATACACAAAGCAGATCAATGTTCAAGTAAGAATACACATGATGAATGTATTTAGACAATTTTTACTTATCCTGGAGTTGAGCTTAAACTGTGGAAGCTGTGACCACAAAAGGCAAGACAGAGGACAACGGTCACCAGTATTGTCTGTGACCTCTCAGAAGTTTTCCTATTAAAGCAGAACGTCACCCAAAATGGGAAGTTTCACTTGTTTGCCTCCTTCCTTCCACCCCCCCCCCCCCCACTGCAACATTTGGCACTTTTTTTGGGGGGGAGTGGGTGCCTGTCAAAACCAGATGCGCTGCAGCTTTCTGAGACAGAAGTTCGCCCCCCCCCCCCCCCCCCCCCCCCCCTTCCTTCCCCCCCTCCTTCCCCTGCAGACTTCTGGAACACTTCACAGGTCCCAGAAGACTGTGTTGTGTTTTGCGCAGTAGGAGAATGGCTTTGAACTCGCAAGGTTTACCTTATTGAAGATGCCGGCACCTGCACCAGAAGCCGATTGAAGAATCAGCTCAGGTGAGGACATTGCTGGATCCCTGGACAGGTAAGTGTTCTTAAAAAATTATTTATTGCTGCTGACTTAATTTTTTTGGGGGGAGCCTAGAGCTCCGCTTTAAAGTGGTTGTAAAGGGTGAAGGTTTTTTACCTTCCCTAATACTTACCTGAGCCAAATCCTCATTATTCATTCAGCACTGGTGCATGGAAGCCTTGGTTCTCCCAGGTCTCTCTCTCCTCATTGGATGACACACTGAAACAACTAAAAACAGTCCCTTGTTTCTGCTGCTGTCAACCACAGCCAGTAAGAAGGGAATGGGAACGGACTGAGCCACGCTCTGTGCATCCCATAGACACACAGAGCTGGCTCGGGAGTGAGCACTGGGGGCACTTGGCAAGGGGCAGGGGCCATAAGCGCTCACAAATGACCCAAGAAGAGGAGGATCCATACTGCTCTGTGCAAACCCATTACATAGAGCAGGTAAGTATGACCTGTGTTATTTTATAGAAATATAAAACCTTTAGAACCACTTTAATGACTAAAACTGGTCATATGGAGAGAATTTTGCCCTGCTTCTCCTCCTGTTCAATCCATCTATGAGCAGACTGGTTGTACAGAAGTCGATCTCTTGTACAACCACCCTTGCCGTTTTTTTGTGGGTTTTTGTTTTTTACCCGATCAGTGCTGCCAGCTATATCCGGCAATACTAATCATTGTCCTCCACCAGCAGGGAAGATCAGGCAACTAATGTACTGTCATAGAAATTACTTTTAAACAAATGACTGGTTTTGGTTGTTACAGTATCTTTTTACAAGTTTAAAGCAGAACTACTCTACACCTGAGCAGCACAAACCAAAAGCGCCATTTAATTTATTAATATTCAAAGCTACAAAACTGCAGCCTGTGGTATTGTTTTTTACAAAAGCTTGTGTCTTGTTCTCTTCTCAGTTAATCAGTCTGAATCCCTGGCTCTCATTTTAAGCAAATTTTCCCATCCATCCATGTCTCCATGCTTTTTTTTGCTGAGAAGTCACTTTGAAAAATACCCCTCTAGCATTTCTGGATGCAGCCATCTTCAGTAAGGGCAGATAAATTTACTTCCTGGAATCAACAATCCATTTGCCTTACCTGAGAAATCCCCTTCTACTCTCCTGAAGATTCCTGTGATGTATGACATTATTTTGCCTAGGCCAGGAAACCAGGAAGTAACTGAATAAATGTAAAAAAAATTAAAACCAGTAAAAATTATATACTTTCCTATCTATTTACTAATGCTAACATAAGGATTAAAAATCAAGTCAGTGTTAATTGAGAGAGTGAATATCCACTTTAAATACAGGGAGCATTTGGAATAAAGCTGGAGCTACACTGGCCATGAACTAAAATTGCATACAACTTATCGCCTGATTTACACATTTCTTTTTATCTGATACAAGTGTCTATTAACCAAGAGATCATGCAAACAACTGAGCACAGTAGCACACTACACCAGACCAGTTGCATCAACCGTGGTAGGGATTTTCTTTTTATTTCTGAACTTTTGAATGGTTAATCGAGAGTAATGACATAGTAACTAATTTGGTAAAATTTCCATTATACACCTCACCTTTAAAATATAAAAATATACTGCAATCAATTGATCTTTTGAATACAAGTCACAGACAACTTAGTCCTGATTTATGTTTTGTCTTTTGTCTGATCCCTCGAAGGAGAGGTTTTTGTAAATCAAACAATAAAATCTGCCTGTGTACCCTAGTCTTATAAATAATGTAACATAAGCAAACATGAGTAGAAAAAGATTTAAATATTGTAATAGTATACATTTTTACTTTATTTTTTATACATTAACAAAAAATTTTTTCAGATTCCTACTCCGTTCTCCGGATTTCTTACATTATCATTACCTTTTCTATCAGATTTCTTTTTTTATTTTGAGGTTCTGCAGAAAGTTACCCCAATTTTTAGGGTAATGTTAGAGAAAGTGATGTAATATTTTCATTTTGCTATCTAGGATTTTGAATCGGTGTTACTTACTTTACGTAGTGTTTTATTAGGTTGGATGATTGCTTTTTTTTGTCTTCATTGAATGTAATTGTATCTTAATTCCCCTTTGGGATTAAGAAAGTATTCAGAGTCTGAGTCTTTTTAGTGTGGCAAACCAACTGCTTGTCTGTTTCCCTCAGTGATGACTCACAGGCAGGGATTGAGACTCTTTGGAATTTCATTAGCAGATATATTCTATACACCGTAAGAAACACTTTCATTAAAGCAGCTGGCAATAAATGTAAAGTTCATAAAACACTCCATAAAAGGTGACTATGTTTACTCTGTGATTTACTTTTGTCAGTTGTGGTTCTAAGTATGTTATTTGCCCTGAGGCAGAGTTACTTTGCACAGGCCTCCGTTATACTGAAGACCCCTTCTATTTTTAAATGAAGCAAAGACTGCCAAACATGTGCACACTGTTTTGGCTTGTACCCAACATGAATATTCTACGTTCTTTGTTCTTGCCACTAGCTCTCCATCCACAGGATTTCATATGAGGTTCATTCAGACCTGTGGTTACGTGGTGGTGTATGACATAATTATCTTAACTCCTAAGGAAGCTTGTCTAACAGTTCTAACATGAATGTGTTTTGACAACCATGATACTCCAGCTCTTGTATCCTCTGTAAACAAGTCTTTCTTGGAGGATTTAACCAGCTATAGATTTTCTGGTTCGGGTGTCTATCCATCATTGATCCCGCTGTGTTCCATTCATCAAGTAATTTGTGAGCGTGTTCCGTATATATCTTTGCAATCCCTGTGTCTGAAATTCTGAACAAATAACTGTACCAGTTTTGATTAGTATTTGCAATAAGTGTTCCTGTATATCTTACACAGATTTATCCCTACTTATAGCTTTCCTGTAGTTGGTATAGGACCTCCTACCCTGCCTATCGCACTGAGATCTCATCTGAGAAGGATTAGATTAACCTGAATGCTGATTTCTTTCTTATGTGTAGATTGTGGGGGGAATTATCAAAGAGGCATAAATTAACTGAGAAAATGGATCCTGCACATAATCTAAAAGGGCTACAAGCCCCTTTTGTTAGGAGCAATCTGCACCTTTTTCTACTCCATGTCTAGTGCAGGCTGCTTGCTCTGTCTCCTTCTGCTTGCCCTTGCCCCTGCCTCCTGCTGCTGAGATGGAGGAGGTGTTTGTCAGGGTTAACAGCCAGGCTTGGCAGGGAAAGGAACGCTCACATATATGCAAAGAGGTTGACCACACTCCAATTCACTGAAAATCCAATGACGTTTATTGATAGTTCATGATAAAACAACATCACAGCTCAAACAGGCAAGGAACAAAGTTAACTCGTTTCACGTAATATGCGCTTAATCCGTATGTGCGACCCGGACATTGAATGGTAAAGGGGCTAGCATACAAGGTGGGCTGACCTGAAGCAGTGTTTGTACAATAGAAGGGAAAGCAATGTTCCCTGCGTATATGCAAGCTCTACCCATATACTGTGTTCACTGCACAGGCAGAGAGGGGCATGTCAACTGCCTCCCAGGTTAACCCGCACAGTTCACATCCCAGACACCCAGTCCAATCCAGCAGGGAATGGTGGCAGTTTACTATATTGAAGACTTCCATTATACTCTGTGCCAGTCACTATTTCACTTTGAAGTAGACACTGATACAGAAAGGCCTGAAACAGATCTGCCTGCATTGTTAATGTAGTGCGGGGCATTCGTCCAAGTTTAAGTAGAATTAAATTGTGGTGGAAATGGCTAGAATTTGTTATATATGCAAGTATGCAAAGTACATTGTGAGACACTTTCCTCTGGGTTTACTCTTTTCCAGCCATATGAGGTCTGAGCTCCCTATATCCTCTCCAGTTCCATTGGTGCCATGATTTTTTCCTCCTCTTTTTGGGTCTTCTTTCTTCTTGCTTCACCATTGGGCGGGCATGTACATTATCTCAGCACCTTACTCCATTCTTTGTATCTAGAATAGTTGGGAATAGGCCTGGAGTGTACACTGCTGTGCCATAGGCAGTATGCAGATTTTAAACATTTTCTAGCAGGTAAGTGTTTTTTGGCACAATTGGCTGAAGAATTATCTTCTACGAAAAGACCTACAACTGGCAAATGTTAGTTTTAAGGGGTTACTTCTGCTTTTAAGTCAAAAAATGTTTTTTTAGTCCATCTGATCTCTATGCTGTTCATCAGTGTCAGAGCTGACTATCTGGGGCTCAAGAGGGGATGCAAGAGTGAGAGCCGATCAGTGCGGCTTACTGTGATGGGGGACATGGTGAAGAGGTGTGGTTTAACAGCAATGTTGTGTTAAGCCAATGACGGGCGCAAGGTGGTTCTCTCGTTCTGGGAGGACATCATATGACGTCCTCCCACTCTCACCACGCATGCGCGGCTCAGGGAGTGCACAGTGCGGCGATCGGCGGTGTGCTGTGTCCAATCACAGCTGATCACATGTAAACCGGGAAATGCCGGTTATCGGCATTTCTCTCCTCACGAGCTGTCACGCTGACAGCTCAAGAGGAGAGCCAGTAAACAGCATTCCACGGAGGGGACATGCACACTGATGATCAGGGCACTGATGATCAGTGTGGCCCCAGAAGTGCCACCTATCAGTGTCCATCAGTGCCAGCAGCCAGTGCTGAACAGTGCCAGTGCAACATCAATGCCACATATCAGTGCCTACCAGTGCACATCAATGCCACATATGAGTGCCCATCTGAGCTGCCTTTCAGTGCCACCTATCAGTGCCAGTCAGTGCCGCCTATCAGTGTGCATCAGTGCCGCCTATGAGTGTTGCCTGTCAATGCCCATCAGTGCCACCGACCAGTGCCTCCTCATCAGTGTCCATCAGTGCAGCCTATCAGTGCCCATCACTGCAGCTTCATTAGCGCACATCGGTGAAGGAGAAAAATCGCTTATTTACAAAATTTTACAACAAACTAAACTTTTTTTTTTTTTCAAACTTTTCAGCGGCTTTTGGTTTAAGAAAAAATAAAAAACCCAGAGGTGATTAAATACCACCAAAATAAAGCTCTGTCAAAAAAAATGATAAAAATTTCATATGGGTACAGTGTTGCATGACTGTGCAATTGTCATTCAAAGTGTGACAGCGCTGAGAGCTGTAAATTGGCCTGGGCAGGAAGGGGGTATAAGTGCCCTGTAGGCAAGCGGTTAAATATCTGTGTGCATGGGCCCCATTATGAGCAGCTAGTTACAAAGTACAATTTTTTTGGTTGTATGTTGTCCGTTTACTGCCTACTGTTCTATGTCAGATGTGAAACAGACCTGGAGAACTCTTGTTCCAGACTGGAGCTGTTGAACATATTAGGCTTTGAAGTGAATACAGGCGGATAGAAGATTTTAAACCAATACTTTCCCTTATATGCTGGCAGTAAGTTTCCAAGGACGCTGCAGACATGAATATAAACAGTTCATTTGGCTGTGGCTGTACTCTGCTTCCTACTGTGTTTTGCTCTTGTAGTTAGGAAAATCCAGTGTCAGGACTTCACTGTCCTGTTCTTAGAAAACACTGTACTAAGTGGTGTTCAAGAGAGAGAAAGTCTCAACACTGGTCTCTGTTTTCAGGCAGAATGTAAAATCTGCCCCCACAAATAGAATGCTGGCATCCTATAGCTAAGCTTCAGGAATGATAAAAAAAAAAAAAAACCCTTGCAGTGACCCCTACACACTGCATGGGTAAATGGTCCTTTAAATCTGAACTCTGGGAATGAGACAAAAATCGATTTATCTTCTTGTCTCAAGCATTGTCCACAAGCTCTGAACTGCCACTGGTCACTTGGCATCATCATAGGCAGTGCAGGACTGTTAACCCTACACTGTACATTAGCAGGTATACCTGTGACCACACCCCAAAGGGCCTTAGAGGGGATGCTGCAGGGGCTGGTCATATAGATTGAGGGACACTGCCAGAGCTAGGAATAATTTACCTTATCCTTTCTGCTCTTGATTAAATGACCAGTAATTGTTTGGTGAATGACATGTTCACTGCTTTTTAAATAGGCCCCCAACTTTTAATTTTGTTAGGAAGGTAGGCAGAGTGAAATATGGAACGTAAACATTTGTGAAAGTCACATAAAATATTATGTAATGTTTAACTTAAGGGTTAAGCAAAAAGATTAATTTCATAGATTCCGTAAGTGAATCGTAAAATATAGTTGGCAATTGTGACAAAATAACTGCCAGTATGCAGTATGATGTTTACAGATAGACCATATTTGAGTGTGTGTGTATAACCCATCAAGGCATGGACTCTGCTAGACCTCCGAAGGTATGTTGTGGTATCTAGCACCAAGCTGTCAGTGCCAGATCCTTTAAGGCCAGTAAGTTGCAAGGTGGGGCATCCATGGATCGAACTTGTTTTTCCAGTACATCCCACAGATGCTCGATTTGGATTGAGATCAGGAGATTTTGGAGGCCAAGTCAACACATCAAACTCCTTGTGTTTTTGTCAAACCTCTCCTGAATTAATCAGACCAGGCCACCTTCTTCCATTGCTCTGTGGTTCCTACATTATTTATATAAATATATATCGGTCTCAAGAGTAGGACCATAATTGCCACCAAGCTGGAATTATGCAAATCAGGAAAGTCAGATGTCCTTGTTTGCATGTTTATTACCAATAAGCGACACAATTGGATCTGTGTACAAAACATTTCTTGTACAAATGTTGCGAATGTTTGTCTAGCTGAGTCTGTATTTTACTTTAATATGTTGATCTCCTATGACAATCGGCTCCATCTAGTGCCCATTTTTTCCCCCCCTGAAATACCTCAGGGAATAGAACACAAAACAGATATTAGAAGTAGCTAATGATCATAAGAAATTAACACTACACAACATTTTTCTCCAAAAACAATCCATACACATCCATTACTTAAAGTAGTTTTAAAGGTGGAAGGTTTTTTACCTTAATGCATTCTTTTCATTAAGGTAAAAAAAACCTTCTGCAAGCAGCTACCCCTGCCAGCCCCCTTATACTTACCTGAGCCTGACATTTAAAACAAAAAACGGCATTTTGATTTTGCTTCCATCTAGCCACTCTGCCATAAAGCCCAGATCAGTGGAAGGCTGCAGTGATGGTTCTCTTTCTGAAACTTTGTCCCATCTCCACAGAGGGTCTCTGGAGCTCAGTCAGAGTGACCATCAGGTTTTTGGTCCCATCTCTTACTAAGGCCCTTCTTCACCGCTTGCTCAGTTTGGCAAAACCTGGACTCATCCAACAGCTGGTTGCCTGGCCAAACACCTGAGACTGTTAATATTATATATTGTATAACAGCTATGGGTTAAAAATGAAATATTTGCAACAGTAGGCTTCAGGTTGATTTACAACACTTGCAAATCCTCAGATTACTTTTGTTCTTGCTTTGAAGGACTTGGAACATTAAGATCCTGCACACAAGGTATAATCATGGATTAACCTGCTTCTTTATTTTTCCAAGCATACAAGTAGTTTTACTGTGCCATTGCAGCTCATATTTGTCTTTGTTTTTGAGTGGGTGACATTACACCCATACTGTAAGGCAGAGCCATGTAGTGAAATCTTATTTTCAAAGCAATATAATTGATGACAGTGGTGGGTCATAGCTTTTTAAATGGGCCTGCTGACTTCAAGATTGTACTGTCTGCCTCTTGCAGAAATGTTTGTCATTACTGTACAAATCAGATGTGTTAACTTTATAACCCGAGAGTCCCATTTTGGCATTTCAAGTTACACTGTGGCTCTTTCTTTCTTGACCACAATGGTTGGATACAGTTTTTTTTTTTTTTTTTTTTTTTTTTTTTTTTTTTTTTTAAGTTTTTTCTTAAGCAGACTTTATTCTGTTTACTCACCAAGGGTGTCTGAATAAGATATACTGCCTTTGTGTTACTGCTTTCCTGCATTGCATCACGTTCTGTGAATGATTGGTATAGATCCAATCATTCAGCGGCTCCTCTGCCATTCATAGACTGAAATGCATTGTGGGAGTGTAGTAATACAAGCAATATGAATGGTGGAGAGAGCAGAAAGAGGCAGGCGAATGGCACAACTTTTCTCAGTCTCAGCAGCTGCTATTGACTCTCTCAGCGCTGGAAGATGCCTACTCTGGGTGGTATCCAGTGGCTCTGAAGGAGATACTGCAGGGAACATTTTTAGTAGCACAGCCACCTGCAGATAATAGGACACACTCAGTTACTCATAACTAATGGGAATGGTGCTAGATCTAAAGTAAAAAAAATCTGAACTTCAGCCGTAAGCTCTGGTTCATACTGGCTCAACTTCTCATGCAACGTATGACAAGTCAAAGCACATTAATTTCAACAGGTGCTGTCTTAATTACTGCGACTCAAGTCGCAGCAACAAAAAAAAAATAGTTCCTGCACTACTTTTGTGTCTTCCTTGCGACGTCCGTGCCATAGACAACCAAAGTCGCAAAGAAGTTGTTTCTTTGTCTTATCTTTGCGACTTCAGAGGACTTTTTAAGTAATGTGTCATAATTTACCAACATTGCAAAACCTTAAAGTTACATGAAAGCTGCATGGATGTCATTAGCAAGTTGTAATGCAAAGTCACACTAGAAGTTGCACTACTTTGGGGTCGCAGCAGTGTGAACCGCGCCTAATTGATCCTGTTCATCTTAGATCAGTTCAGATGTTTTGTGCTGTGATTTGTTCTCACGGGTACAAACTGCACTAGGACTAAAGATCAAAGTCTTGCTTAAAGCAAATCTAAAGCGTTTGTCTTTTCTAATGCAAACACTCTTAGTATCATGCACACTGGATGTTTTTACAGCTGCTGTTTTGGCTTTTTGGTTTTTTTTCTTCAGCCAGTAAACTCCCCAGCATGTTATCCTATGTGCCCATGTGCACACAGACTGTAATCCGCATTTTTTTTTGGCTGGAAACCCCCCCCAGAACTACTGGGTTTCTAGAGGAGTTTTTTAGCTGTAAAAACGTTTTTAGCTGTAAAAAAAAAACGCGCTAAAAACCGCAAAACGCAGCTAAACGCTAATGCCAAAACGCTAAAAAAAAACCTGAAAAACTCACGTTTTTAATGTGACTTTGCACAGCTAACGTTACCAGCGTTCTTAAAATGCCCCGTGTGCATGGAGCCTTAGACTGCAGGTTACAAATAGTGCATGCATTTAAACTGATGTGGCTTCTCCAGAAGGTGTGCCAGCTGCTGGACAGGCCCAGTGTAGGACCTGGGATTCTCTATGACTCCAGCTCTGCAAACTTCACAGCCTGGAGGCCCTAGGATTTCCACACCTCCCTCCTAGTATGTGTCATTATTTTCCCATGTTTCTATAAGCACGTGTGACTGCTTTTAGTTTTTCCCTTTGTTTCAGAACATGTAAACATTTGCTGTAATCCAGCAGAAGAGAGGGAGGATTAGATTGGGGTAAATGATTACATCACTTCTCTCAGCTCATAGCACCCCCTTTATCATCTCACACTAGTGCTAATGAATGTAATCTATAAGGTGGCATATGGTAACACTGATTTGCAAGTGCACATGCATGCAGATGTTTTAACTTGCAATGTAAAGTGGAACTTAACTCGCTGCCCGCCTGTCGGGTTTTTTCAGGACTCCCTGATCTGACGGTCAATTCACCTCCTATGTCCCACAATTGTGTCCAATTACACCTACCTATCGCTAATCTGATACGCTAAAAAAAATAAACAAAGGGGGTCTGCACCCTCTGTCTAGGCGGGTCGAATCAAAGAGCAGTCGGGTATAAACGGACACAACGGATAGAGCAGAGCAGGCTCAGTCCAATGTCCACTCTGCAT